GGTTCTGTTCATTATTTTTATGGACAGAATTTCTAGGTGCAGCCAGGGGCCGGAGGGAGTCCAGTTTGGGGACCACAGGATCTCTGCTCTGCTTTTTGCAGATGACGTTGTCCTTTTGGCTCCATCAAGCCAGGCCCTCCAGCGTGCACTGGGGCGGTTTGCAGCCAAGCGGGAAGCAGCTGGGATGAGAATCTGCACCTCCAAATCCGAGGCCATGGTTCTCAGTCAGAAAAGGATGGCTTGTTCCTTTTCCGAAATGAGCTTCCTCCTCAGGGTGGCCGGGCACACCCTCAAAGATAGGGTGAGGAGCTTGGTCACCTGCGAGGAGCTCAGAGTAGAACCGCTGCTCCTCCACATCGAGAGGAGCCAGCTGAGGTGGCTTGGGCATCTGCTTCGGATGCCTCCTGGGCGCCTTCCTAGGGAGGGGTTCCGGGCATGTCCCACCGGGAGGAGGCCCCGGGGAAGACCCAGGACACGCTGGAGGGACTATGTCTCTCGGCTGGCCTGGGAACGCCTCAGCATTCCCCTGGAGGAGCTGGAGGAAGTGTCTGGAGAAAGGGAAGTCTGGGCATCTTTGCTTAGACTGCTGCTCCCGCGACCCGGTTCCGGATAAGGAAAATAGATGGATGGACATTCATGTTGCCCTAAAATGAACTGCAAGAACTTTGCGACCTTTAGTAGCATCATCTCAACAGATGTTTAGTTTGCCTTATGATAGAGATACATGAAAAGAGCCTTGGCTGTACTTTGCGTTGAGTGGCAATTTGGTTTCATAGAGTAAACAGTAAACGTGGTTTATTTATAAAGGGCACAGTCATTGAGTTATGCTGAAGTTTCAGTTCTGTAGCAGATTATTTTGCCTTGCATGGCCTGTCAGCTCATTGCGAGTTACTAAACTGCACCACATAATGTATGTTCTCAGTCCAGACAGGGATATTACAGGAATATTATTTTATCAGGGCTTAAATAATAAACAGTAAACTGGGTTTTCCCGTGAACGGAACTGGGTTTTTCCATGAGCCAGCTGACATACTTCGGCACTTTCTATAAAAGTCTGTCTTGGCCCTGCAGTGTAGCCTTTTAGCTATTTAGACAATCTGTACTCATTATGCTAATGTTTATTTTTTAATCTCCAATTACTAAGTTATTTTGCATGAAAACTGATCTAGAATTCTTGACAAGATTTGAAGAATCCCCACATTCCACCTGTTACCACAACTGTCTTGTCATAATATATAAAGAATTTAATAAGCAGTAATGTATTCATATTGCAGACTAGAGTTACAGTATCTCTGTAATATAAAGTGGATTTATTCATCCTCTGAAAAAAAGTCACCACTGACCACACAGCATTCATTGTTAACAGAATAAATGTTCATTGTTCAAAATCAAAATCAATTAAATTACACGCAAAATCACTATGAAGTGTCATGTTGTTGATCGAACTCTTAGATCAGAGGACAAAAAGAATGTATATGCCTATTTCTCTATCTTGACCATATGTCTGTCTTGTCTTCTTACATTACTGAAGGTTTCATGAAAAGTGCATGTGACTACCATACCATATTTTGGAGAAGTATAGATTGCTTGTCTTACTGCAGGCATTCAGAACATTCTTATTAGTTATGTAGTCATGTAAGTGCTGCATGTGATAGCAGCTGTGGGTGAAATTAGATCTGAAAATTGTTTCAAACCATTTCTGTAACAAAACAAAACAAGCACATCTCCTAGAAAATAATTCTAAAGATCGGAGCTGTGGGACAGACACTGAGGCCTGAGTGAGTCGTGCTGAAGTGTTGTCTCATGTTAATTCTGACACCAAGTCATGTCTTAGCCTTGTAACACTCAACCCTGGCTACTGCTGCAGTGGTTGGTCTTTGTCAGGCAGAAGTAAGTGATCCTGCACCTGGGGCTCTGTGTTGCAGTGTAATGTATAACGGTTATTCATTTAATGTCTACTTACTGCATTGGGGGTGCCATCTGTGTCTGTTAGCCGCTGGTGCAGATCAAACCAGACTGTCTGCAAGGAGAAGCATAGCAACAACAACAGCAGCAACATGTCAATCAACAAGACCAATAACAGAAATGACAGAAACTACTAGAGTAACAGCTTGAAGCAGATGTTAGTTAGCCACATCAAGAGATATTAGTAGACACACTGACAGCAGAGACAAGCATGAAAGCAGGAGCTAGTGTCTTTTTACAGTGAAAACAAAGCCCAGCAGGGGAGCAGGAAAGAGGGTTTGGAGAGGAGAGACAATAGATGCATGTTAATAAAAGAAGCACAAAATGAAACTTAGTGAATCATAATGAAGAAGCTAGTGTATAGGCAGTAGAAATAAATTAAAAAAAATTTCACAGGACAAAATTAAAGGGGATGTAGCTTGTAATGCCTGCAAAGACTGTTTAATATGCTCTGCCACCTTAGTTATCGTTGCTATGGCTGTCAATTAGAAAATTACTTGCTCATTTACAGTAGTATGGTTGAGGTACTATAGGCAAACTATGAGATTCTCTCATCAGTCCAAACGTCTCTTGGGACCACTATATATCTTCACCATTGTGCCAGTCAGAGCACATTTTTCTGATATGCGGTGTATATTTTGGGCAGGCAGTGACATTTGGACTTAAGTATAAAAATAACAGAGCGATACTATTTAGTACAAAGTTTCTTTTGAACAGGGACACAGAGGATATGGTTTAGCAGTGTGAGCTAACACTGAATGGGTGGATATTTGCTGGAAATACAGTAACAGGACTGCTTATCCTCTGTGCAAAGGAATAACAGTGTGTCTGCCTTGCATGATATTGAGTATTGCATGAACACTGCGGCTGTACCTGGCTAGGTCCTGCCATGTTTAGATTAGATTAGATTAGATTCAACTTTATTGTTATTACCCATATACAAGTACAAGGCAACGAAATACAGTTTAGCATCTAACCAGGCGTGCAATAACAGCAGTGCTGAGTGCACAGTATCTACAGTATGTACAGTCAGTGCTAATTTACCAATAGATATGTTCAATTGATATTTACAGTAAAATATGTAAGGTAATGTACAATATACAACAGACCTTATGATTTAAATTACAAGTAATGGATAATGTACAGTAATCTTATAAAATACTAGTGCAATGGGACGAAATGGAATGAAATAGTGCAGAATAAGAAGATAAGTTACATGAGTTAACAGTTCAATGGATGTAAATAGTGCAAAGATAAATATACAGTATCTGCATGTGTACAGTACAGTGCAAATGAATAACAGAGCAGTATTCTGTGAGTATGCGCAAGTTAACAGATCACTTCAGTATTACAGGTAACAGAAGTGTATTGCATTAGTCCCGGGAGGAGAGATGAGAAGGGGTGAGGTGTGTGTAATGGAATAGAAGAAGGCAGTGGGGATCATCGGGGGACAGAGTTCAGTAAGAAGACAGCTGTGGGGAAGAAGCTGTTCCTGAGTCTACTGGTCTTGGTCCGGAGGTTCCTGAAGCACCTCACAGAGGGCAGGAGGTCAAACAGTTTGTAAGCAGGGTGAGAGGAGTCTTGAGAATGCTGCGAGCATGTTGGAGATAGCATCCCTGTGGACACCCTCAAAGGCTGGAAGTGGAGTCCCTGTGATGAGTTGGGCAGTTTTCACCACCCGTTGCAACGCCTTGTAGTCAAACACAGAGCAGTTTCCATACCAGACTGTGATGCAGCTGGTCGGGATGCTCTCGATGGCACAGCGATACAAGTTCACCAGGATGGCTGAAGACAGGTGGTTCTTCTTCAGTGTCCTTAGGAAGAAGAGGCACTGGTGAGGCTTCTTAACTAAGCTACAGGTGTTGGTGGTCAAGGACAGATGCTCTGAAATGTGGGTCCCCAGGAATTTGAAGCTGGAGGCACATTCAACAACCATCCCGTTAATATGGATGGGAATGTATGTGCCTCCTTTCTCCCTGCTGTAGTCCACAATGAGCTCCTTGGTCTTGTTAGTGTTAAGGAGCAGGTTATTGTCAGCACACCATACAGCCAGCTGTTGTACCTCCTCCCTATAGGCTCTCTCATCATTGTCGCTGATGAGGCCGATCACTGTGTGTCTGGGAGGCAGGTCATCAAGTGTGCCAGGACCAGGCGCTCGAAGCACTTCATGACAATGGGTATGAGCACTACAGGGCTGTAGTCATTCAGGTACATCAGGGTGGAGAGTTTTGGCACTTGCACAATGGAGGTGGTTTTGAAGCATGTCAGCACAACTGCTTGGGTGAGGGATGGGTTAAAAATGTCCTGAAAGATGCCAGCAAGCTGTCCAGCACATGACCTGAGCACGTGTCGAGGAATGCCATCAGGGCCAGCAGCCTTGTGTGCGTTGATCCGGCTCAGTGCAGCATGCATGTCAGTGGAGGTGAGTGTGAGTTTCTGGTGGTCTTCGGAGGGTTTGGACTTGACGGCTGTCTTCTTGTTGTCCTGGTCGAAGCGAGCATAGATGTCATTTAGCTTGTTGAGGAAGGAGACATCTGTGGTTGTTGGGGTGGAGTTGCTGGATGCCTTTCCATATATATCAGGGGTCAGAGTTTGTGAAGTGTTCCTGCTTGTAGCAGTGCTTGGCCTTCTTGATGCCCCTCCTTGAGTTGGCCCTGGATAAGCTGTAGGCCTGTGCATCACCAAATCTGAAGGCTGAGTTGCAGGCCATCAGCAGGAGCCGCACCTCCTTGTTCATCTGATTTAGGTACATGGTGATCTGTTTCTGGGTTGTGACACTGTCAGTGGTAGTGTTAGTATAGTCCAGCACAGAGGAAGTGTAGGTGTCAATGTCCATGTGAGTGTCACAGGTAGCCAGGGGGCTAACATACTCCAGTCTGAAACAAAGCCTTTGACAAAGCCAAACAAAGCATGTTTGAACAAAGCCTTGCTGGGAATTTCATGCCAAAAAAGCAACTGCTATATGGCTACATGTAGCCTGCAAATTCCAGGGTACCATGTCTGAAAAGTAACAATGTCTAAAATCAGCTGTTTGGAATAGATTCAAAACTATTAATTGTCTGTCACGATGAATGAAAAGGCAAAGGAAAGACAATAAGGCATAACTCCATTCTCTGCTGATTCCAAGTTTGCACCTTTGCCTAAATCTAGATTTCATCTAATGCAGTGTTCACAAACATAAAATCTTAAACTGATCAAAGTAGTCCGACAGATGCTGTGTTTTCAGTCTCCATTTAAAAAATCTAATGAAGGGACCAAGGATGGGTAATCTGTGCAACTATTATTAGAAAATAAAGTAACTGTGTCCATATATATAGTACCTGTGAAAGATTTTTACAGTTACAAAGTATATGAGACACACACAAGTAATTTGTGCACATGTGTACATATGAAATACTTGCACGCATGTCTGTGACACTTCTTGTAGTGATACTGTATGTGAAACAGTTACAATCAAGAAGCCTTTGAAATCATGCATATGAATATTGCACACTGTATGGGTGTGCACATTTCAGTTATGGATGAGATGAAGTAAATCTCAGTATATCCACAGGACACTGGGCTATAATTGAAAGGACTAGATTTCTTCCCTCCTCAAAGACATGGACCATGGAGACGGACTAGTTTAATAGTGAACTGGACAAACCCACTGTTTAATTCATCCGTTGGAGCAGCCATTTACTCACATTCAAGACTTAATGGGAGGGAACACAAAACAGTACAACTACAGTTACGTTAAAATATCCTCTTCAGATACTGTATGACATTAGTAGGGCCAGGTGGGCGGATGGTACATTGTGTGAAGAAACACTGATTTCTAGTTTTCTCCTCTGCATGTGAATCAGAGTTTTAGAAACCTGTTCTAATAAATCACAGTTAGCACTGTCATCAAGGTGACTGATGAGCATCACTGCTGCTACTGTTAATGAATAATGCCTGGATCACTCAGAGGGTAACAGAATTTTTCCAAACACAGCAGGAAAAGCCGAGTCAATGGGGTCTGACTCAGTGGGTAGGGTACATGCGCCCGCACACACACACACACACACACACACACACACACACACACACACACACACACACTTGTTGTGTAAAAGCTACTGGAAACACTGAGTTGTAGAATGAGTCATTTGAGCTTTATGTGACACAGTTTGGTCACAGCTGGACTATGTGTTGTTGGATGTTCAGCACATAAAAGATTTCAGAGGTGGAGGCTCACTGTCTGCTGTTTTCTTCACTGAACAATATACACTGAAATACTTCTTGTGTGAAACACTTTATCCAATAGACCTTTTTTGAGGTGGACATATTGATTTGTTAAACACAGGTGTGACAATGATAAAGTAAAACAAACAAACTGTAAATATAACACTGACATATTGTGCCTCTTGCTTTGGCTAGTGTGTTATCATTCAGTTGCTAATTTAATTTACCTGTCCAGGAGATATACCAAACATTAGCATTCATTTGAAGTCAATTTGTGTTCTGTTAAGTCTAATGTTCACTCTGCTTTTAGCTCTGCCATTGTCTTCACCAGCTCCTGAGAGAAATATGTGGTTATTTAGTTGTGAAATGCTCCAATATGTTCATAGCTAGTTAGTAATTTTGTTTGTTGCTCGGTGCTGAGCAGGTAGCATACAGTTTTTGTTATTTAATTGAAAACGGCTGCCTGCAAGGTTCATAATTATGGAGGCAATTTTGTTTCTTTATTCTGCAGTCAAAGGAAACACATTTGAGAGTAAACTGGTACTGTAATCAAAAAACATTTTTTTGTAGCCCCCCTGTTTTCGTTTCTTTTTTTGTAACTTCAGTCATTCATGGACCTGGAAACATTTCTTTTGTGTTGTGCATGTGTGTTGCATTGTTTTTGTAGTGCATTTTGTATTTACAGCATAATGCTTTACGGTGTAGTAACACGTTTTCAGTTTTTATTAAATTTTTTTGCTACTTGGGACAGCTCAATAAGCTGCAAGCACATTGCTCATTGAGATATTATCACATTATGAAGTTCATATGGCACAACCTCTAGCAAAGAGCAGAGACTATTTACTCATA